TTATTGGGGTCGACCTTAAGGTCGTCAAAGGGCATCTGCACGAACATCGGAGCCTGTGAGAAGAGTTGGTGGTAGATATGAGTTGATAATTTCGCGAGCGCAGTAGGAGAGAAGTGAGAGAAGATGGTCTACGAAAATGTGATTTTGAAGCGACGGCAGGATGGCCACGCTGGTTCTGTGGATTAAATAATAAGTACACTGTTATCATGCTGTGCTGTCGTTGGTGGTGTCGTTTCTGTGGTGGATGCGGTCCCGGTACTCGGCAAGTTGTCTGTTGAGCTGGGCCTGGAGCTTGGCGTTGGTGCACATCTTCTCGTATGTTGCTTCGTTGACGTCGAAATGGACGCCGTTCTTGTCTCCAGACAGCAAGGACTCGTTGGTGACCTTAATCGGAAGGAGCCAGGCTAGCCAGGAATCGCCCATCACAGCACGCATGTTTCTCCGGACGCCCAAATCGTAGATATGGCCGAGCTTCTTTCTTTTTCCGTTCGAGTCAAACTCATATTGCGCATCGTGGTCGTTGGCATAGTTCCAGCGGCTGTCTTGGAACTCGATGGTGGAGTAGTTTCGAAGCATGAGGTACACCAGAAACGCCGTAAAGACGCCCACGGCAATGGAGAAGGTGAACGACAAGACCAACACGAAGACAAGGTTGAGCAGGAGGTATGAGGTCAATTCGTCCTCCTGGTCCACGAAGAAGCGGTACACCTCGTGGATGGAAAGGATCAAAAGCCAGGTGCAAAACGCAGTGATGTAGCACAAGCACTGAATGAAGAACTTGTGGTTTCGGAACCCAATGCAACAAGCAAACCACGGGCAATGGTGGTCCATCTTGAGAATGCACCGCTTACAGTTGTTGCAGTGATGGCACCGGTCCGGTTTCCAGGTGTTGCACACGTGGCACAGCTTGTACGACGGCTGGTTATCACGAAAGGTATGTGTTTCGTAAATCTCGGTAGGTGGAATAGCCATCTGGGGCTGTCCCAGCGTGTATGGTCTGGCAGTATCGTAAGGTGAAGCACTCCATTCAGGCTGAGGCGGGAGCCGTAGTTCAGGATAATCCTCCGGCAGTCCGGGCCCATCGTAGATAACACGAAAGTATGAAAATAAACTGAGCACGTATAACACGGCCGCCACGGCAAGAGCCACATGGGACCAAGGCTGGGGTATGCTTTGAAGCTGTGTTGTTATGGCCCACATTGCCCACGTCATTGTACATGAAACTAGAAGTTTTGGAAAAAGCGATAGAAAAGCACATAAGGCCTGCTCGATCCGAGCCCAGGGGGAGTTGTGGGTCCACATGATAGAAGGGTGGGATATGAGCATGGATCTGTTTGATGATGCAGAGTGCGCAGGTGTAGGCTGTGGGAGGCACCAAACGAGAAACTTCTTTTGAGCAGAATTTAGGTAAAATTTGGAAACTACAGGGATGTGACAATTTTTGAATGCTTATTTTGAGTGGTGGCCTCGGGAGATTCGAGGGGGTTATTTTGAGCGAGTGTGGTGCAACATGACGAATGGTTGCAAATGCAAAATGGCTTAGGGATCACTCCTGCTTTTTCTTTTTGGACGAGAGCTTCAAGTACGACTCGTATCCGATGCCTCCGAAAACGGAAACTACACCAAGCCACTGGCCATATGTGAGCGTGTGACCGAACAACACCACGCTGAGGATCATACTGATCATCTTCCTCGTCACCGTAGCTGTAACCAAAATGAGAGAGTCAAACTTCTCAAGGATGAGGAAAACAAACACTTGGCCCGCTGCTCCAAAAAGTGAAAACGCCAAAATATCCACAAGCAGCTGTGGGTACTTGTGCACGAAACGCCATGTGTAGAGTGCTTCCTGCTCAAACTGGAAGACAAGTATGAACCCCAAGGAGAAGACGAAAACGAGGAGATTGAGTATGCACATGAGAGATGCACCGGTGAGCTTGTGCTGACGGTTTGGGAGTCTGAAGAGCTGGTCTTGCGTGGAGTTCATCAAACCATCCAAAAGCATAGACCCACCCAATTGGGCCATGCCCAAAAGCGTATTGCCGTCGTTGATAGAAGCCTTGGACTTTCCTGAGTTGTGATTGGTGGTGAACAAGATCACACCGAGTGTCACCATTCCAGCGACCATGTACTTGTGAGGTGGAAACCTCGTTCGGTAGAGCACAAAGTGAACCAACATCACGGGAAGCAACTTGCAAGATTTGGCGAGCAAGAAAGCTAAATAATCCACATGCTTTAAAGCCTTGTATCCCAAGGGGGACGACAAGGTCGATGTCACTGCAATGGCTAAGAAGAACTTGACATAGGTTGATCCGCCTGTGGTGTCTTTGCTGGCTGTAGAATGAAAAATAGCAAAAGGATTCTGCTTATGGGCGATCCAGGAATATAGAAGTCCAACAAAACATGCAAAGAGAGCCTGGATTGTATTCACAAGAAGTGGGGCCTTGAAAAATACCGGTTTCTCGTCGATGTACTCATATGGCTTTGTGTTGATCCGCTCCTGAAGAACAGACCACGATAGAAACAGGCCATAGAGACCAAACACACAGAAAATGAGTGTAAACACCGAGCTTTCCTTCATGGTGGAGAGGTGTGGATGAAAATGAATGTGTTGGTGGTTTCTTCACCAGCGCGCTGATTGATCTACTAGTAGTACACAGATGCTTCGTGGTATTACTTAACGGCCAAAAATGCCAAAAAATCCGCTCTTCTTCTTGTCTTCGGTGGGCTCTACCTCTCCTCTTTCTTCGCTTCTAGACGAGTAGCTGATGTAGTTGAATGCAACATCGAACAACACAGCTTTGCTCAACACTGGCTTAATTGCACCCTTCTGTCCAACATTGGTGATTCTGTTGATACCGTCAGACAGAGGGAACTTGTTGACGTTGTCAATCACAAAGTCACTGTTGTCCTGCTCGATGTGAAATTGCGTCATAACGTGGGTTTTGGCCAAGTTCGCTTGAATCAGTGCTGCGAGGCCTTGAGCCTCCTCATTGCTGGTGACACTGTAAGGGAACAGCTCAATCTTGTAGAAATTTGATTCAACCTCAAAAGTTCTTGAAAGATGACTGTACACTTTGAGGGCTTCGGGAAGTTTGTTTGCGAGAGTGTAGGAGTCCGCCACAACGGTGGCTCTTTTCGTGACGAAAAACCGTTCCATGTTTTCCAACGTCGAGTACATGTCTTCGTCATTGTAAACACCAGGCAAATCTTTGAGTTGCTCGACAGTGCCGATAATCGAGTCGTAAAGCCTGAGGACGTCACGGTGTGACTGAAGCTTCTTGGCAACACTGGAAAACTGCTTCGACTCCAATTGGTCAATGAGAAGCAAGTCTCTCTTCACCTTGGTGAAATGCATGTGGTACTTGAGGTATGTCAAGACAATAGCGCCGTCTTGAACTCGGTCAAGGTCGTCTTCGTCCTTGTTCTTCAGCAAGTCCGCCTCGTGAAGGTCCACGAGAGCAGTCCATTTTTGCAACAATCCATCGTAGTCATCAGCTTCCTTGAAATCTTTCCATTCCACACGCCCGAGACGGCCCACTTTGCTCGATACCTCGTCGTTGTAAACGTTAGCCGTATGTTCCCTCCAGACAACAGTTTTTGAGATCTCCTCTTCGAACTCTTGCACGAATTGAGGGTCTTGCGATGCTATGAGATCAACGGCTGGTTGCAAGTAGGCCAAGGTATCGTCGTGACAATGCTTTCTGGCAACAGTGATGATATCGTAAGACGATTCTTCTTCCTCATTTTGAGAGACTGCCAAGTTCAATGAAGGGTCAACCAAAGTATCAAGCAACTCCTCCAGTAAAGTTCTACTGAAACTCTCCCCCTCATTATCATCACTATTTTGCGAGGCTATGAGTTCAAGACCACATCTGGCGATAGAGAAAGCCTGAAGTGCCTCAGCCCACCTTTTCTTGTTCACCAGGTACAAGCCCTGGGTTAAGGCGGCGTATATGTAGATCTCTGTTCTCACGGTAACATTTTTTTCGTTTTGCGTGATGTCAAGAAGCTTTTTGCTTGTTTGAACGGCTCTCTTGAGTCTGGAAACCATGAGCTTCTTGTAAGAAGAGAGCCTGGAACCTGAAACTTCAAGCAAGGATTTGATCTCCGAAGCATATAAGGAGTCACGCTCGGCGATTAAAAGTAAGAGTGTACCGTTGGCCTGGTCTTCATCATATTGGGCAGCGGTAATTGCCTTAGTTTTCTCCTTTTCGCTATACTTCCTGGTGTCCTTGGTGACAATGTCGAGGTTGTGACGGAGCTTGACCAACGATTTGTTCAATCTCTTTCTGTGCTTTTTCAAGTCCTCGTATGTCGTCAAGTACGCACTCAAACGGGCGCCATATGTCGTGGCCAATGGCGTCAGGATGGACATACTGTTCGATATCGGACTCGTGCTGTGGTACTCGATTTTTTTCGACATTATACTGGTGATGGTGCACGGGTGTATCTGAATACTGTAATCATCCTTATAGTCCCGACAGGGTGACGATGGAGGGTATTGGAACTACCGGCTTTACTGATTAAATGGCTCCCAAGCTGGAGCTTTTATTTATGTTTCCATTGAATTCATGACCATCAGGTCCTAAACTTCGCCGCAACATGTATCTCATTGCAATGAAGTAGGTCTGCTGCATTGTGTAGCGCTGACTGAATTGATTATTTGAGGTTTTATTTAAATGTGTGAAAACCTTGAACACATTTCAGGCTTCAAGGATTGTTTGCAAGCAAGTAGATCGTTTTAGGTGCTCTCGTCACCTTCTGTGGTTGTATGAGCGACTCGCGAAATGGTTGCAAAACCACTTTGAACTACTTTCTACCACAGGCACAAAGTCAATTTTCGAATTCCAGGAGTTCTAAATCGAGTTTAGTTTCTAATTGTTGAAAGTTGACAACTGCCGAACCTATTAAAACAACTAAACACCTCAAGCACTACAACCAATTCATTGCAAGTCCTTTTGTTTGTGAAGCCCACAAGAAGTTGAATGAGCCAGCCATCAATGTCAGAACTCAACGTCTCTCGGCTGGATGAACGTCCCCTGACTCTATCCGGTCCATCAGAGTCTGTGAACGTCCAGGGGGGTTCTTCGAAAGAAAGAGTCCCACCGCTGTCAGCTTGTGACAGGATCATCGTCGTCCCGACCAAAGAAGATTTGCTTAGATTTGAAAGCGGCAAGACTAAGCCAAAGAGGGGTGATCATGGTACATTCTCCAGGGTGCCTAAGGCGGATAACTTCCTCTCCAACCAAGAGTCGAGAACTGAGGAAAGTAAGCCAAACGAAAATGACGGATTGTGGAATAATCCCGAGCTGCATTACAATGAAGAGTTGTACCTTTTATTGTCCCGCAGCGATGATCCGCTTTGGGATTTTTTGCATCACCGAATCATATGGCTTGAAGAGAAGGGGAATAACATCACTGTCATGGAAGCTGGAGAACTTCAAGAATTGCGAGTCATGGATGACGGCTTACGGTGGGGGAAGTATCTTGGAGGCGAAACCCCCGGTAGTATTTTCTTACGCTATGAGTTCTACCGAAACACTCTTGACATAAGAATCCGTCACCTCATTTCCCGCTCTTGGATTGAGGACAAAGAGGTTCAAAACCAGGATCCTGTTCTATTCTATTTGATATGGAGATCAAAGAAGCAGTCGCGAGAGACACTTTGGCTTGATCGTTGGGAGGTAGACCCACGGATGACGGTCCACGAGGCGAGCATTGACGGTGTTATTCGCAACTTGTTACCGCTTGAAGGGGACTCAAATCGATACGACAAGGCTTGCGATTGTTGCAACAAGCTTTTAACGTTACTCCGTGAGTCTGGCAACGTACTCTATGAGCCAGAAATCAGGTATCTCGAGAAGTTGTTGGGGAAGGTCAAGCCCAAAAGTTGGTGGAATCTCGCATCTCCCATTAGTCTTGCCTGTGTCGCTGCCTCCTTCTTTGGTTCAATGACAAAGCTCAGCCCACGTTCAGGGGGATACTATTCAAGTTTGGTCCAGGGGCTGCTCTTTACGGCAGCTTCCCTTATAACGGCGGCTGAAACTAGCTCAATTCTTGCTTCAAGACGCAGGGCTGAACACTGGTCACAGCATGTTCTTTTGGGAGTCTCGGTTTCAGCTGGGTTGATATCCTGTTCACTTAGGATGTGGGACGAGAGTGACAATTATCAGCCTGTTGTAGTCGTGCTTGATCTGTTGCTGGGTTTTGTCCTAGGCTTATACCTCATGAAACCTTACACTTTGGTTGATCCAGAGTGAGTTTCATGACTTCCACCTGCTACATGTGACTTCTGTTTTGAATCTCGACTGTGATTGCCATGCCTCGTCAACAAGGCCCTTTTGGTTGCAAAAGCGGGCGCTTTTGCGGGAAACTGCTACATATCTTATAGACTAATACATTTCGCTAGAAGACGGTGTATTTGTATGAAGCGCACAGTAAAGCTTGATGGCTCATCAAATTGAAAATGTAGAGGTAAAGTATATATTTCAAGGTATCGGGGTTGACTACGAGCATCTTTCGAGCTTCACCGATATCTTGCTGTGGATGGATGTCTTGCTGACACTGGAAATCACGAAACGGTGACATGGACAGCGTAGCCTGTGGATTTGACCCACTTCACTGTTTTCAGAATCATCAGGAAAAATTCCCTTAGCCATCCTCATTTTCACTGTGAATGAGGTCTCATCTTGCCAAGACGCATCTTCATTTTGCAGCCATTTCCACGAACACACTTCCCCAATTATCCTACAATCAGACAAAATGCTCCTCTTCAACGCCACCGAAGCTTCCTTCCAATTAAACTTTCATTGTCAAAAAATCCCCCACTTTGCTTCCAGAAGACCCCTCCCCCACCCCACTTGATGAGGTTATCAACATGCGCGATGCCCATATCAAGTACAACCACCAGTATGGAGCTAGATAAGCTCGACCTCTACGCCGAATTGGGTGTTGCCGAAAACGCCTCCGACCGTGAAATCGTCGTGGCTTACAGGAAAAAAGCACTTAAGTACCATCCGGACAAAAACCCCCTGGAACTGGCCAAGCAGAAGTTCCAGCATCTCACGGCTGTCTATGCTGTGCTCAGCGATCTGAAGCTACGAGAGCAGTATGAGCTGTTGAGAAAGAGGACGCAGATTAAAGAAGACGGGCTCAGCGATGAGGTGAAACGGTTTCGGGACCAGCTTCGACGGGCCGAGAAACAGCACGCCACAATGTATGAGGATGCCGGCTTGAGGGAGCAGAAGATACAGCTTCTACAAAAAGAGGCCCAGGATCTCCGATACCAGTTTGAGCGAGAACGCAGTGTTGACAAGTTTGGCTATGTGAGCTATAAAGACTTGGACTTTTCGGGCAGGTTTACCACCCTAGCGTTCAACAAGGAAGAGGACCGAGAGGTGGAGGTCAAGTGGAAGCTTCGAGAAGAGCCCGAGGCCCAAATTGACGCCAGCACACTTTCTGAAATCATGGCCGTATTTGGCGCCGTGGAAAGTGCAAAAATAGGCGAGACCCGAAATGGTTACGTCTATGGATGCGTCGTATACGAGCTATGCGACGGCGCAGAGGCGGCCGCAGCACACGATTACAAACAACGAGCCCGGCGGTGGGAAAACACCAAGGTCCGGAAGCTAGCGTCGCTTCTACGAGGATGCAAGCGAGAGCGCAGAGCAGAGCCACTCAGCAGCTATGCTGCGCTCGTGTTGGAGCAGTTGACAGGACAGGTTGTGTGATATATTATATACCCCGAATGCTATAGGGCTCGGGAGCCCGTGGTGGGAGTGTCCTGGAGGCAGCCCAGTTCTAGTGAGTACAGTAGCCGTTCAGATCATGACGAGATTTCCAAAAGCGTATCGCCGTTTAGTTGAGGTAGAAGTACACGCCGGCAGCCAAAGCAAACACGGCAGCAGCCAACAAGGGGAATGGGATGCCCAGCACCTCGTCGGTGGAGCCAGCAGAGGTGACACCCTGTGCCTCGATGATGGTGCCGCCTTCCAACTTGCCGAGTCTCAAACCCTTCAAGATATCGTGGGCGTCGTCCGAGTGGCCAATGTCGTTGAAGGCCTCGGTGGCGTCAGTGCCAGCAACATCGGCAATCACCTCTTCACCACCTGGGTGCTCATCCAAGTATGGAGTGACATCGTACACCTGACCGTTGTAGACAATCCACAAGTCGTCGGTGGTGTTGTGTTTCTGGACCTCCTCGATGGAGTAAAACTTGTCCTCGACAGCAGAGCCTTCGGTTTCAGACATTTTGGTATGGAGAAGAGCGGGTGGTGGTAAAGTTCGCGGAAGATGAATTTATGTTGAACGCTGGTGAGCTCACATGTGAAAGCGAGCGACGTTTATATGCGATCAGGTGTCTGCTTAACTATGGGAGGGAAAAGGAAAATTGGGGTCCGCTCGCGCTGCCTCTGTGCAGGACGCCCAATCACAGACGCCCGGATTGTCAGGCTGGCTGCGGTGCGATGGCACTTCTGCCGTGTGTTTTGCACTAAGGCGGTAAAGAAACCCCCCAGGTGGGGCGTAGCAGGCTGAAACACGCCACCCGTACCGGCAAAACACCCGTACCTCCGCCCTAGTCTTCCCTAGGGGAAAAACCTTCCTTTCCCAGCGCCCCTCCTGTGAAAAACCTCCACACCACCGTTGTGCTCTGCTTCTCTTTTCACATTGCTGCGGGGCTGGCTGCTGCTTCCGTGCCATTGTGCCTCGACGTCGCTAGCAGACCTTATATCCGCGGTGTGGCTGGATTATAGAAGTGGCATTCGGGGTTCTGGAGCAGGATTGCAGATGGGTGTGCTGGAGACTTCTAAAATCTGAATGTGCAAAAAAACGTTTTGTGGCTTTGTCCGATAGGAGCTTGTGATGGGGAAGTATGGCTGGGGTGTGGAAATGGCTGCGAAATCGCCGGTGCGATCTGTAGATCTAGTGTAGCATATGAAACCTGCCAGATTGTCTAGATTATGAAAAAGTGGCCTGTTATTTGCTTAGGGGGTCTGTTTGTGAAGCCGCATGGCCAAAGGGCTTGTTGATTTCTTGGTTCCTGAAACTCCGATGATCGTGCCACAGTGGGCCACGATGATGTATGGACGATGATCTATGACAGAGGTTCATGGAATACAATAATTCATGGGCTTTTTCCCTGTGAACGTCCAAAATACACCTTCTATTCAACGTCCCTGGATATTTAAAAAAGCTACACCACTCCATCCCTCTTCGTGTATTAGGTCTACCGAATATTCGTCTGCAGCTGCAAGCACCCAGAGTGCCCTGGTGCCGTCTTATGCAAGGATGGCCCTAGGCCAGTAACTATTCTACAAATCAAGCCTCAAGAGCATAGTCGAAACCAAGCTCCTTCAACTCGTCAAACTTGGCCTTCTTCTGGGCCTCGAATGCAGCCTGCTTCTCCTCCCACACAGCCAAAGGCTTCTTCTCGTGGTAGGCAGCGTACTCCCTGGCTCTCCAGTCAAACTCGGTGAATGTGCTCTTGAGGTTGGCTGGGAAAAGATCGTCTCTGGGGTTGTCGATAACGTGCACCTTCATCAAGTGGCCCAAGATGAGGTAGTTGTTCATCGTCTCTGCAGCCACCTTGGCGGCCTCCTCTTCCTTGAACTCAATGAATCCAAAGTGCTTCATGCGGCCGGTGGTTTTGTTTCTGGCAAGTCTCATTCTGGTGATGTCGCCAAACTGTCTGAAGTACTTCTTGGCTTCCTTCTCCTGGAAATGCTGTGGGAGACGGCCGATGTAGATAACGCCTCTTTTCTTGTGAGCGGCCTGAGTGGCCTTCTTTTCTGGAACTTCAAAGTTGACCGTGTGGCCGCCGACACTCTGTGTGGTCTTGGCTGTAGAAGCTGGAGTCTCGAGACCCTCGATGTCCACTTCCTCATCGTCACTGGAAAACTGCTCGTCGCTCAGCGAGTCGGCAGATTCTAGCGCAATCTTCTCCTCCTCGACCTTAGGCTGCTCCGCCTTAGGCTCCTCCTTCTTGGCTTGTTTCGTTTTTTTCTGGCTGACGGATTTGGCCATTTCTGTAGTAGTTGTAGTCTCCCAGGCTCATCTCATCGCACTGAAAAAACACCTCTCATATGTAGTACAGAGCTAGGGTGGGAGGCAGATGGTTGGAGTTAGAAAAGGAAAAAAAAAAGTTTAATGTTTTTTTACTTTGAAGTGAGCTGCCGCTTTATGTATACTAGTTTTATAAGCCTCTTACAGGGTGTGGTGGAAGGCCATTTCGCCTATTTAGTACTGGCTGCGAAACGCTGTACTCACTTGGTTTATCAGTGCATTTCAATCTCTAAACCATGGACCCTTTCAGGGACACCTACTGTAGATCCAGGACAACCCTTTCATCGTCACATCATCAATAATAAAGGTCCCTGACATCTTTTAGTGAGCTTCAGCCAATGCCTCTTGAAGCAAGGAGAACGTCTTTGCAGCAGGAAGCCCAACCACGTTGAAGTAGTCTCCTTGGAGACCAGTAAATAGAAGGTTACCGATACTTTGGTATTGAAAGCCGCCCGCAACTTGAGACCCTTCTTTGGAATTGACGTAATGCATGAGCTCTGAATCCAGGAGCTTGGTGTTGAATTGCAAGTCAGTCACCTCGTGACCATGGACATGGTGCTTCTTGTCATTCTTCAAAACAATAACATGAACAGATGTGATGACTTTGACGTGGCCTGCCTTGCGGAATGCTTTGAGCATTGCAAACTGGTTCTCAGCCGTTTCAGGCTTTTCGTAAACCCTGCCTTCACAGGACACAATTGTGTCTGCAGCAATAAGCACATTGTTTCCCTTTTCAAGCTGTTCTAGAATGCTGGGAATCTTAGCGTGGGCAGTCTGGGTCACGTACTCCATGTCGGATATGCCATCCTTTGATATGTCTTCTTCAAAGGTCGATTTGAGAATGTGAAAGTCTTTGATACCGACATTTGCGGCCAAAATCTCTTTCCTCCGTGGAGACAGGGAGCCAAGAGTGATGCGATATTCTTTTAATTGTTCATAGAGGGGATGATCGAACAGCATGGTTGTAGGTTTCGGTTACTGATCTTCGAGCGGAATCTGACCAATGCAGGATTTTGCACCCAAATCACTATCGACAGATAGAGAAATGACAAAATAAAATCAATGATTGTATCTGGGTAGTTCTGGGCATCTAACATGCTTATCCTTGCGTACATTCATTACCATATTAAATTTAGGGGTGACGGTTTCAGCGTCACTATGTTAATCATACCGCTTGCCTACTCAGCTGCCGCTTTTG